ATGGTCCACATCTCATGTGAAGTCTCTGACTTTGTGTTGGCGCCTCCTGGTGGACTATGTGTAAAATGCCAGAATACATATGATGCTCAAAATCATATATTTTTTGTCAAAATAACTTTTAGTACATATGTTGTTAAAATAAAATGAACACTGCAAAGGCTGAAAAATCTTGAAGTCTGTATGAAATTGGAGGTAGTTTGAGGATTAAATTTTTCATGCTTTTTAAGCTAAAAGGGGGGGTCGTATTATACACGAATAAATACGGTAAGTATTAGGCCTGTTTCCAGGAAAACCTGTGTAGAACTGTGTGCCTTGTGCACATTAATAGTGTTCAGGAGAAGCTGCTACAAGTTGAGCCTTTGAACCTTCTGAATCACACAAAAAGAGCACCTTGTGTTCCACGTCTTTGATGACTTTGTTTTTGTTGTCGGTCCGTTACACACAGATTCTGAAGTAGAGAGAGATGGGAAGTCTAGACATTGTAAAAACATGTTTATGTCAAAAGAAGACATGGAGATGGTCAAACTACATTTCCTACCAGAACACAATGTCCAGACAGCTGCAGGCAGTGAAAACCCACTGAATCTAACTTTTCTTCCTAATGCCTCCTTTTTCCCTCCACTTTTTGTATTTTAACCCCCCTTTTTATTCCCTTCATCCCAAGAGCAGATTGATTCACCGAGCCATCTGAATGTAGAATCAGAACACTGTCTTGCCAGCAGTTTCCCTACAGAGATGGACTTCCGACATCATTCACAGTCTGGCCAAGTCTTCTGAACAAACACACATGGATCTACAGTCTTTCTTTCTTTGAACAATTGACATGTCAGGAGTTATAGTGTGTTTGTGCCTGCTAAAACGGAGCAGATTCTGACCCAGAAGTCTCTATTTTTTAAATCAAAATTTAATTTCTTGTTGACTTTAATATAGTWTTACTTTTATCAGTTCATTTTATTGGCACGTGGCTTTGCTTCATATCAGTTTCATCACAGAACATCATGGCTTGCTGCAACTTTTGGCTTTTGACTCAAGCTCTAGACCAGAGATGGAGATTACTCACTGTTTCTGCAAACCTAAGATGATGTTTGTACTTTTGTTAGTGGTGATTGTATCTCAGAGARTTCGTTAGTGTTGTTGTAAACCCAGTTTATGTGTATTTTCTAGACGAGTTTCTGGGTGGTACGAGAGATCCTCCACGCTCAAACTTTGAAGATCAGAGCTGAAGTGCTGAGTCTGTATATTCGAACTGCCAAGGTACACGCACATACACAACACAACTTTACCACTCAGCTTCCTATGAACATTTGTGATGGTAAATCAACCAGATGTACGTTTAATGTCCTCTGCTTATAGAAACTGTGTGACATGAACAACCTTCATGCAGTCATGGCTGTGGTGTCGGCGTTACAAAGTGCGCCTATCTTCAGGCTTACCAAAACTTGGGCGGTAGGTGTGCATTTCATGTCCACAATTGATTCATGAGCAGAGCGCTATCAGTAGAATGAAAGTTAATGAAGACTTGTACAAGTGACACAATAAAGCAAAATCAACTACTCAGATTGTTCAGAAAATTCAAAAATCACCTGTTTTACATGAGAATGGCAACCATTTCTAATAAGTGGACCTTATATTCCATTTTAGTGTTGACTTTTAAGGTTGACATCCCTAATGCTTTATATCTATTGATCAGTAAAATATCACTTGTACAAAAATGCACAAAAGTGTTGGTACCTTTTTGTTTAATGAAAGAAAAACCCACAATGGTCACATAAATAACTTTAATCTGACAAAGTTAGTAATAAAAAATTCTATAAAAATGAACAAATGAAAGTCAGACATTGCTTTTCAGCCATGCTTCAACAGAATTAAAAAATTAAAAAAAACTCATAAAACAGTCCTGGACAGACATGATGGTGCCCCTAAAAATAATGTGACCAAAGGGTCATGTTAAATCTTTTGTGTCCACTAATTATCATCACAGTTGCCTACAGTCTTGTAATTTAAAGGTAAAGGTTATAAGACAAGCATGTTAAAGGTAAAGGTTATAAGACAAGCATGTTAAAGGTAAAGGTTATAAGCATGTTAAAGGTAAAGGTTATAAGCATGTTAAAGGTAAAGGTTATAAGCATGTTAAAGGTAAAGGTTATAAGCATGTTAAATGTTATAAGACCATCTCCAAGCAGCTTGATGTTCCTGTGACTACAGTTGCAGATATTATTCAGAAATTTAAGATTCGTGGGACTGTAGCCCACCTCCCTGGACGTGGCCTCAGGAGGAAACTGGTGACAAATCAAAGACGAAGAATACGAACAAATGAGCCCAGAAAAACGTCTAAAGTGATTAAAGGTGAACTTCAAGCTCAAGGAACATCAGTGTCAGATTGCACCATCTGTCCTTGTTTGAGACAAAGTGGACTTAATGGGAGACGACCAAAGAAGACATCAAATCATAAAAAAGCCAAACTACATGTTGACAAGCCACAAATCTTCTGGGACAATGTCCTCTGGACTGATGAGACAAAAATGGAGCTTTTTTGACAAGACACATCAGCTCCATGTTCACAGAGGGAAAAATGAAGCGTATGAAGAAAAGAGCACTGTCCCTGCTGGGAAACATGGAGGAGGTCTGTTATGGTCTTGGCTGCTTTGCTGCATCTGGAACAGGGGGTCTTGAATCTGTGCCGGGTACAATGAAATCTCAAGACTATCAAGGGATTCTAGAGGATTCTAGGGATTTTTTTTTACCTAATTTCCCTCTGGGATCAATAAAATATTTTTGAATTGAATTTGAATAGAGAGAAATGTGCTGCTCAGTGTCAGAAAGCTTGATCTCAGCAAATCATGGGTCTTCAACAGGATAATGACCCGAAAAACAGCTAAAAACACCCAACAATGGCTCAGAGGAAAACGTGCTAATCTGAAGAGACCTTCTATGATCCTGACCTGAATCCTACTGAACATCTTTGTAAGGAGCTAAAACATGCTGTCTGGAAAAGACACCCTTCAAACCTGAGACAACTGGAGCAGTCTGTTCATGAGGAGTGGAACAAAATACCTGCTGAGGCGCAGAAGTCTCACTGACACTTACAGGAATCGGTTGATTGCACTGATTGGCTCAAAGGGTTGTACAACAAAATATTACCRTAAGTTAAGGGTCCCATCATTTTTGTCCAGGCCTGTTTCATGAGGTTTTTTTTTTAAAGCATGGTTGAAAAGCAGTGCCTGAATTACATTTGTTGATTTTCATAGAATTTTTATTTATTATTACTTTAGTCAGATTCAAGATATTTCTGTGACCATAGCGGGTTTTTCTTCCATTAAACCAGAGGTACCAACAATTTTGTCCATGTGTGTAATATTTTGTCTTGTTTTGTCCATCTCATCTGTAACAGAATCTATGTGGAGATAGTTTACACCACTATAATCAGCGATATACAGTATAATAACCCCTTCTTTTGGATCTGTCAGAAGCAGTATTATGTAGCAAGTGTATACTTTAATATACAACATTTGCCAGTATATTAGCATTGATGTTGCTCCTGCTTCCTTTCAGTTTTGTTATAAAAGACATACTGTTCATCTGATTGGTTCACTGTCCTCAGATGAACATTGTGTTAAATTAAACCAAAGCTCATTAGAATAATTTAGTAATACAGTCTGCCTTTTTTTATTTCTGTTATCGTCAGTGTTTTGCTAACCTGTTCCATACGCTCGCTCTKTTCCTTTTTTTTATTTTGGCCTTCTAGTTACTGAGTCGAAAGGACAAAGCAACATTTGAGCGACTTGACTACCTGATGTCCAAAGAAGACAACTATAAACGTCTGAGAGACTACATAAGTAACCAGAGCATGGTGTCTTGTATACCATACCTTGGTAAGGAGCAGAAAATTATTTACACACAAAAACCAACTGCAGTTTTTTGATTTCAGAAGTTGCACGAAAATGTACGTGTTTAAAYGTGCGTTTGGTAATATTCTCATCTAAATTTTGTGCATCACTCATGTTTTATTGCTTGTTCTTCAATTTCTGTGTCTTGCTCTTTAGTAAGCCGTTTGTTTCTGCGTCACATCATTCTCCATCTAAGGTTTTTATTTTGATTGGCTTCCATAAACTGGGAGGAGTAAATGTTAAACATCAATGTGTAGCTTTCAAAATTTTTTTATTGGGATCAAACACAAAATTATCATGAAAGATGATAAACGGCCCCCACATACTCGGGCGTACTTCGCTTGCGGACTCGCAGCAGCTGTCCGCCAAAATGGTCCACACAGAGATGATTTTTTTACGTCCACAGTGTCGCTCAGTAAACTGCCTGGCGAGGACTGTTTTGGATGCAACACCAAGCTGATAAAGTWGAGAATTGGTGTCATTTGTGGATGAAATGGAGTCAAATTTTGAAAAGCGTCTCATGGAGGAGTTTAGAAAACTTTATGATGTGTCAATGAGGGAATCTAATGACTTTCAGCGAGCAACAATATCATGGGAGGAAATGGCTCAGGTCCTGGGTGAAGTAGTTCTTTTCTTTTGTTGTTTTAAAGCTAAAATGCAAACTAGCTGTGTTTCCATTGACCATGAAAATGCACAAATTATAATTTCGAAAATAAATTTGCTCAATGGAAACACGTCAATTTTGGAAAAAAATTACGTTTTTCGACAAAATGTTTTTGCGCTAGGATGAGGTGGTTTTTCGGCCGTATCGAAATTGGTGTTTTTCGCAAAACTGCAATGGAAACACTTTTTTCACATCACAGGAGTCACGTGATCAACAACCGGCTGTTTCTACTAGTGAAAAGGATGACGACGAAGAAGATAACAGGAAGTAAAAGTAGTAGTAATAACACAAGAAGTAGTATAAAATAGTAAACTCGCTGAC